TCCTAGGCTATAGCGAACCCTTTACAATATTTGGTGTGCCAGAACTTAAAGCTCTCTGAGACTTTAAAAGGTGTATGATTGTGTTTCTTCCTTTATTGCTATAGCCTTTGAGTTTCTCCAACCTATTTGGTCAGAAACCACAGAATTTCTTTAGTTTTGCAGTATTGATATAAGTAGTTCCATTTTTTTCTTGGATACATAATCATAGGTTCATAATCATTTCTCTCTATGCATTGAAGCGTTATTCTACCTTTGTATTCTGGTCTCTGTTTCCTTGTCTTAATCACACAGGTTCTGCTCGTAACACTAAGTTTGCTTAAAGTGTCCTGCCTTATCCTTGGTAGTACTACTAAAGTGTCCATACACTTCTTCTTCTGTATATATGTATGCTATTTGTTCCTTTTCTTTTTAAGATTTATTTATTTTTATTGCAAAGTCTGATATACAGAGAGAGGAAGAGGTAAAGGAAGGAAGCTCTTCTGTCCACTGGCTCACTCCCCAAGTGCCCTCCTCATGCAGAGCTGAGCCTATCTGAAACTAAGAACCAAGAGCTTCCTCTGGGTCTCCCACAAGGGTTCAGGGTCAACACTTTGGGCCATCCTCAACTGCTTTCCCAGGACACATTAGGGAGCTGGATGAGAAGTGGGGCTGTTGGAATTAGAATTGGTACCCATATAGGATCCTGGTGCGTGCAAGGCAAGGACTAGGAAAGAGCTAGGCCACCACTTTGGGCCATGTTTTTGTTTTTAAATGAGTTTCATCTCTATCATTCACTCTATATTGTCCATTTCACTTTACATATTGTCACTTTGCATTTTGTAGTTACTTATTTCTTATAAATACAATGAAGTGTGCATTGCATTGTTACGGGGGAATTCAATGGGAAAGATGACAGCAACCTCATTTCTTGTCTCCATAAAGGAATTTTCATGCAAAAAATTTCAGTGTACAAGGTGAGAGTTATTTGAGAGAACTCTTCTGTCATAGTGATAGGAAGGGGCTCCAAGGGAGGAGAATCCCAAGAAAATGGTGGAAGTGGTATCTTTCATGCACTATTAAGACTATTATTTCCACATTATTTTTCCTGTATCTGGGATAAAGGGGGAGATAAAGGGAGAAGCCCCACCCAGTTTCCCACCCCTTGCAGGTCCCTGATCTGGAGCATGCTCTGAGGGTCTTGCTCAAGTGGTTTTGATAGTTCAACAGTTATGAATTGCTGGCAGTCTCGCCACTCCAAGCACGATGAAGTTGATTCAAAAATCCACTGATTGACATAATCCACCTTGGAGTCTCCATTTGCCCAGTTTTTCACTGCCAACATATGGCTGGAGTAGTTGAAGCATCTGTTATGCACCATCTCCAGGAGGGGGATAAATGAATTAAAGGGTGGAAGAGAGAGGAACGCATTTACTATGAGCAGTCTACTTCCTTGTTAGAAGGGTGTGACGGGCAGCCCCCTCCTCTGCTTCTCTCTGTAATGACAATAATTCAAAGTGATGGAAATTGGTATCCTGATTTTGTCCCTTTGTTGTGCCTCAAGGAGACTGAGGCACAAAGCTAGAAATCAGAGGTTGTTGGAAGGATAAAATGGAGGATGAGACAGTACGAGCCTGCTGAAATTTTGGCCATACTTACAAGTGGGTGGACAAGCATTGCTCGCCCAATCCCTAACTGGTTAAGAGAGCACCAGTGGGGAACATTTTACCTGTAGGTTCCCCATCCGACAAGGAGAGGTCAGGGGGCTTGAACTCCCAATGCCCTTCCTCAATCTTTTGGTGTCTCTCCCCCTCTCCTGTCAAAAGGGCAGCCCGACTCCTGGCTTTCTTTTGGGAGGTGTTGTCTCCTTCCCTCTTCTTTCCCTGCTCACATGGTCATTTTGCAAAGAAACTTCTCTGTGCAACTGGTTCCCAGCTTTTTATTTCTATATTAACCTGAAGAAAGAAGCCACTGAGCTTTTCTGGTAACAGCAGAAGCAAAATTTTATATTTTCAGAAAAGTAACTTTACAAGAGACCACAGACCCTAACTACCTATTACCTCATCTGATTTCTCACAGCATTGCTCATTCTGAAAATTTCTATTTCTTTAGAAATGTTTTGATATAGAAATGTTTTTTCTTTATTCATTTTTATTATTTGCTATCCCACATGCTCTCACAATTTGCTACTTGTTTATCCAATCTGACTGTATTGCGAATTGACCAAATCAATCCAGGAAATGAATCAGAGGCAGACTCTTAGCAGCTCAGGTGTCTTTGTTCATCGGCTGGTGGACTGACCTTATTCTACCACACATGGAAGAGGGAGCAGCCCCAACCAGCCACGTTCAGGGGTTTTTAAGTATCAATCATCCAATTCACTAAGAGAACACTGATGCTTGATATGCATCATTCAATCAGCTAGGCTTACTTCAATGCACAATACAAATTATTAAATCAACTGTAATGGCATGGGACGCGGTACCCAGTTTTAGATCTAGCTTTATTGTCACCATTTTTTTTTGGTCAGAGTGTCACACCTGATATAAGGTTTAATTTACCAACTGATTTTTTTTTAAGATTTATTTTACTTTTATTGGAAAGGCAGATATACGGAGAGGAGAAAAGAGAGAAAGGAAGATCTTCTGTCCGATGATTCACTCTCCAAGTGGCTGCAATGGCTGGAGCTGAGCCAATCCAAAGTCAGGAGCTAGGAGCTCTTCTGGGTCTCCCATGCAGGTGTAGGGTCCCCAGGATTTTGGGCCATCCTCGACTGCTTTCCCAGGCCACAAGCAGGAGCTGGATGGGAAGCGGGGCCTATGGGATTAGAACTGGCATCTGTATGGGATCCTGGCACGTGCAAGGCGAGGACTTTAACCACTACATTATCATACGGGGCACACCAACTGATTTTTCTTTTCTTCTAAACACTGTATGCCATTTTTATTCCTCTCCTAACAGAATTCTCATTGTGGCATGCTCTGTTTCATAACCGATAATTGAAATTTATTTTTAAAATTGCAGTGATCTAAAACAAAGTTTATACGATTTATATTCCCAACACTCAAATTTAATATATATCAACTTATCAGGTACATTGTGTTAATACAACAGCTAATCCTCTGCTTTGCAGCACTGTCATCTTATATGTGTGCCCATTAATGTCCCAATTGCTCCACTCCTTGCCTGTTTGTTGGGAAAACAGCATAGGATGGCCCAAGTCCTTGGAACAATTCATGCACTTGGGAGACCCCTGGGGTCCTGGCCGGTGGTGTCAGCTCAGCTTAGCTGCAGCTATTCAGGCCATTTGGGGAGTAAATGAGCTGATCTTCTAAGTACAAACAAACATACATATTAACTTAGTGTAGGCTTTGTTTAGGCACATCCAAAACTCCTTTTTATTATCCCCTATTATATTGATATTGCATATCATTTTGTCCGTAAATATTATTGTATAAAGCATAACAGGAATGTCACACCCATGATTATAATAACATTTTATACATAAATATAATGTTATTAATATAATCAGAGGTACAGAAATAATTCTATTTCCAATTATCTAAAACTGTGAAGTTTATTTAACAACTCATTGTGTTTTTTTGAGGTTTTTAAAAAATTTTTTTGCATTGTATTATTATTATTATCATTTTATGTTACAGTTCCATAATCCCTTATGCCCTCCCCAATTCCCTCAACAACTCATTGTTTTACACAGACATTCAAATACATAAACAGATCATGATTAGTAGATTGCTTTGTAAGCGTTTCTTAAACTATTGGCTGTTCTCCATTTCTTTGCTTTTCTTGTAGGTCATTTATCGAAGAAGTTGCATCACTTGTTCCATGAATAAATTCCATGAATAAATTATTCCATGAATAAATTTTGCTGATTGCACCTGTCGTTTATTATATTTTGTGATTTCTGATATGCTCTGTAAATTAAAGATGGGCAGAGGTTTAATCAGATTCAAGTTCATGTTTTTATTTCTTGGAAAACAGACATGATAAAAGTAGGCATTTGATATAATGGTTAAGACGGTGGTGGAACATCGGCATCTTATGTTGGAGTGCTTATGATTGGATTTGCGGTTCACTCCCACATTCAGTTTTCCTGCTAAAGCAGGCATAGGGGGACAACAGATAATCACTAATGTAGTGATTCCTTAAAATGCACATAGGAGAGCTAAACTGATCTGACCTGGATATTTTGAGCATTTGGGGTGGAATTAGCAAATAAGAATAACTTCCCCCTTTGTCGCTTTCAAATAGATTTTTAAAAATACATATTTTTTTTTCTAAATGGAAGAAACAACAGGTAAACTGTTGTTGTAAAATACACAAAAAATGCAATCTATTATTATCTCTCAGTGATCTTGACAGACTGTTATTCAGTGACTAGGTTAGGAGTATAGTTTCAGGATGCTTTCTACAATACTCATCATATTTGTAACATGATGTCGATATTTTCAATCAATATTTCATTGGTCACATTGTTTCACTATTTCTTATGAGAGTTATTCATATCATTTGTATATATTATCATTCTAACTTGGAAAATTATTTCTGAAACAATTGTCTAAAATCTCAACAGAAATAATACATTTGATAAGTCCTCAACAATTCTGCCTTTATGAGAAATCATTTGGGATAGGTAAAATTGTAAGCTCAAATACTTTTCCCTTCATAGTTCTCTGTGCACTGTTACTTTTACATCTAATATCAAGTGACAAATGTAAGATGTTCAGTGTTCCTTTTTGGTAAGTATATCAAGAAAGCAATGAGAATTACAGCTTTATGAACTGCAGTCTAATTGTGGAAGTTTTAGGGAAAGATGTGCTGGGCCTCAATTGTCTCAGAAATATGATTTTGAAACTCAAGTTAGAAGCAGCTCCAGCTTAGTGCCTGTTCGCTGGCTGAACAGCAGTGCAGCAGCAGTGGAGCTTCCTCAGGGAGCAAGGTGAGCACAGGGAAGCCAGGGCCTCGTGGAGGAAGCACACTACATCTACAGCAAAGAGAGTAAATCAAAGCAGCAGAGAGTGTTTCCTGAGGACATCAATGTCTAGCATGTCCTTGGAGAGCTTCATTGCTCTGTTTTCTGGAGGGCCTAGGGATGGAGATGTCAGCAAAAAACTGACCCTGATTGGTGTGAGAGGAGAGTGATGTATGTGAACACGTGGTTCTTATTCGGTGTGTCATTGTCTGAAGGACGGGGAAGAATAAGCCTGAGCTGCTCTGACTGCAGAGGTGGGATGAGAGTAAGCTTACTTCATGGAGGCCGGTACGGTAAGTTAACCACAGAATATTAATGCCCAATGTGAGAGAAGAGGATGTGCTACACACTTTGTGTCCTTTCTTGGGTGCATCAGGGGCTAATAACCCGCCAGAAAGCAGTCTTAACATTTAACAGATTATATAAATATGGCTTTAGAGTCGTTTTTTGTTTCCTACTTACCTATTATTGTATAGCACAAAAAACCAGCTAGCATGATGATGATAAAACCGATCATAACACCCATCGCCAGTGTCATGTCCCACATCCAGGAATTGTAGAGGTCAAATAAAGGATCTTCAATAGAGACTGGGAAAGGCATAAACATCAGAAAATTAAGACTACTGTGAGTTAGAGAAGAGATATTCAGTAATAGCATTAATATTACTATATCTATACTGAGAATTTATCTTTCAGACTCATTGCCACTTAAAGTAGACTAGATCAGTTATTGCATGTGGCAGCCATATAAAATTATATATTTAGGGGTCACTGTTGTGGTGTATCAAATTAAGCCATTGCCTGCAACCCTGGCATCCCATTTAGGCACCAGTTGATGTTCCAGACGCTCAGCTTATGACCCAGCTGCCTACTAATGCACTGGGAAAGCAGCAGAAGATGGACCAAGTGCCTGGGCCCCTGCACCCATGTGGGAGACCTGGAAGAACTTCCCAGCTCCTGATTTCAGTTTGTAGCAGCAACTCCAGCCATTGCAACCATCTGGGTAGTGAACTGTGAATTGAAGCTAGTTCACTCACTCAACTCCAGTTTTCAAATAAATAAATCTTACAAACACTGTTGATAACCCAACACATTTTCCCAGACAATGATCAGTTCTATTTAGTACAACTTGGCAGTGTTTCTGCTCTTACAACACTTTCAAGAGCTTGGAAAATCTCCTCGTGTTTGGAGACAATCCCTTACTCAAGAGATTGCCACACAGTTATTTTCTGAATATTCCCAAGTTCTGTTGATGTCACTGAACTGATAATGAGTAATATGTATAATGTACTCAAGCAGTTCTCTTTGTGCCTAACTGCTTTCATCAGTAAAAGATTGACCAACCACAGCCCTGCGATTGCTTCAAGAACACAGGTTAATGACAGAAAAGCTCCTAATTTTAGTAATTTTATAATGTGGGTTGATGACAGCATCTCACATCATCAAATTTTGACTCCTTCTCCTTTTACAGTTGTTGTATCAACCTTGTTGTTTTTACCTTTTCCCTCACATTTCACTGGAACAGCAAGAAAAATAAGGCCATGGTTTCAATTCTTTTACAAGTTCTGCCTTACACACAACTGCACGACACAATTCAGCCTGGTTTTTTTACTGCTGCAAAATAGCCTTTCTTCCCAGTTCTCAGCATGTTCCTTGTTTGCATCTGGGACCTCACCCCAGCACTGTAGGCATGCATGTTTATGCCAACAGTGTGTTTATATTTACACTGACACTTTCTAACACAATACATTGTTCACTTTCTCTGGGCCCTCACTGGCAGTGCGCCTATGTCCGTAACTGTATTTACAGTCTGTTTTAGGTAACGTGCATTTTTTCTATAATACTTTCTGACGATCCAAATGTTTGTCATAACAGATCTATAACGTCAGGTATCAAAAGCTGTATTGGTTATCTTCCACTGCAGAACTGAATTAACACAAATTAGGGGAACAAAAGCACAGGAATTTATTTTATGACTGTTTTAACAACTTAGAATGTGAAATCCATTTCAGCAGGTAAAAATCAAGGAGATGACAGTCCCGCACTCTTTCTAGAGGTTCTTGGGAAGAATCTATTGTCTTCCTTGTTCTAAGTTTGCAAGAATCAGTTATATTTGATGACTCTTTCAAATACATTACTCTTACATCCAGTTCTGTCCTTAAGCTTCTTTCTCTGGACTGCTCCAATCCTCCTGTCTGCTTTAATAAAGATATTTGTAATTATGTTGACTAACCCACACTATGCAGTGACATCACCACTGTGCATTCCTTTAAGCTATTTAAGGTATTAAACCCCCAGGATGTGAACATGAGTCAGTGTGCTAGATGTGCAAAAGCACTCACAGAAACTGCTCAGAACCACCTGCTTAAAACAATGACAGAAGTAAAATTAAAATGATACTCTATGGTAAGAAGAATCCGTGGAACACAAGGAAGAGAGGACCAAAAGATGCAATGTATAGAAAACATATAAGAGGGCCCGGCGCGGTGGCGCAAGTGGTTAAGGTCCTCGCCTTGCATGCCCGGGATCCTATATGGGCGCTGGTTCTAATCCCGGCAGCCCCGCTTCCCTTCCAGCTCCCTGCCTGTGGCCTGGGAAAGCAGTCGAGGATGGCCCAAAGCCTTGGGAACCTGCACCCGCGTGGGAGACCCGGAAGAGGCTTCCGGCTTCGGATCGGCATAGCATCAGCCCACTGCGCTCACTTGGGGAGTGAATCATCGCACGGAAGATCTTCCTCTCTGTCTCTCCTCTCTGTACATCTGCCTTTCCAATAAAAAAATAATAAAAATAAATCTTTAAAAATAAAAAGAAAAATAAAGAAAAAGAAAACATCTAAGAGCATGGAATAAATAGTAAATGTTCTTCTAGATGTAAAAATGGATGTGCACTGGAAAGAAATGTCAGATATATTTTGAATGAATTAGAAAACCATGATGACATGTTGTGGGTTCAAGGACACAAATAGATTCAAATTAAAGAAATGGAAAAGAACCATGAAAGAAGCAACAATGGGTGAGTTGGACAGTCTACCTTGCACATACACAAAGCAAAGCTGAAAATAAAAGTTGCTACTAGAAATAAAGAAAGGATGTAATGAAGATCAAATTAAAAGGAACAAATAAAAATTGTGAATATATAGGCCATTAAAACCAGAAACTCAAATTACAAAATGCAGAAAAGGGTAAACTCAGCCCAGTCACATATAAAAATGATTTTCACCATTCATTTTAAGATCTCAAGATGGATTTTTTCTCCTGAAAGTCAGGATATCATATTAATAGCATGAAAAGCAGAACAAATGTGACTATTTTAATAGCTGCACAAAGAAGAGTTTGATAAAGTACAACACAATTTAATGATCACATCTCAACGAATTTGGAATAGATTGTAAATAATACATAAAGATAGAGTGAAATTTGTTCAACTTGATGAAATCCCTTTCTGGAAAACTCAAATTTAATGCCAAACTCTTGCGAAAATGTTAACACTATCCCTTCATGATCATGAGCGAGGAAAACACAATATTTTCTTTATATTCACTGTTGCACCAGAATTCCTAACCAGAGCAGCTAAGCAAGAGTAAAATAAAGCATTCTCAGAAATGCAAGCAGAACAGCAGAGTTGAATTTTCCAGTCTCTTTTCTTCTCCCCCACAAAGGCCCATTGAGAACTATTCACAGAAGAAGATATCTATCCATGTGGTCCAGATCCCAATGAGGCAGTGAAGCACTAAGAGTTCTGTCTTTGGGGAAAAGTGATCAGATTGAACATCAACTTGGCTGTGGAACCCACACAAGCCATGCAACAGACCCTGAAACCTGGGTGTGTGTGACAGGCCTGCCTCCTGAAGCCCCGCAATTACATGCCTAGATCCAGCCATGGACACTGGCACCAGGCTTGCTCACACACACTGCTTACTTTTTCAGCTGGTGGACCTGAGCACCTTTCAGAGCAAAATGTTCAGCCCATCAACATATCCCTGGGCTATGGACACTGACAATGGACCCATCTACCTGTGGTTTCCCACCTATGGTACCATGTTCACTGTTGGACCACAACACCAGGCTCACTGAATGGAATGCTCCTGCCTTGGATTTACTTATTATACTGGCATCTGGTCTGCACACCTACAGAGTCAAGCACTGGGGAAGCTCACACAAGAACACTGTGAATAGGTCTGCATGTAGACACCATTGGGCTTCGTGGCCAAACTCTCTGGTAAAAGGAACTGGGGAAGATATTTACCTCCTGAAATGGCAACATAAAGATTGGATGACTACCGACTTAAATGTGAGGACACTAAGACAAGGCCATGAAGAATGCAGATATTCCTGACATTACCAAAGGGGTAGGAAGGAAGATTAAGGCCAACCCAAAAAGATATATGAGCAAGATGACAAAGCATTTGAAATCATAATCTAAAGCAAGCTAAATAACCAACTCAGTCAGATAAACAAATAAACTGAAAAAAATGAAAGTAATAAGAAATTTGACAGATCTAAGACTTACAAAAGAAAACCAAAGATACACAAGAGATGAAGAATTCCATGTCTAGATAGAAAATTCAATAGAGAGCTTCACAGAAGACTGGATTAACCAATGGAATGACATACTAAGTTCAAAAGACAAGTGATTTGAAATTAGCCACTTAGGGAAGACACAGGAAAAAAAGTGAGGAATCCTTTGGGATTTCTGGGATACCACTAACTGCCCCTATACACACATTACAAATACTCAAGCAGGGTGGTATAGAATTAAGGGGAACAACATCTAATTTAATGAAGTAGCAATTTAGAGCATCCAGCTTCCTGGTTTTTACACCATGGGAAGAGGCAGCAAGTGATATTTTAAGTGTCTGAGTTCCTATCACCCTTGTGGGACTCGTTCATGGAGATCCCAGCTACTGGCGTAAGGCTGGCTGAGCCCCAGCTGTACTGTGCATCTGGGGACTTGGGATGGAAGTTCACTCTCTCTCTATCCCTGTCTCGCTTTCCTCCATACAAATACATGAAATTAGTTTAAAAATGTTGAAAAATCTTGACATGGAAATGATGGGATAACAGAAATCCAAATGCATGAGGTGCAAAGAATCTCAAATAAATGGAACCTAAAAAGTTACACACACACATCAATTGAAATTCACATCAGCCTGAATATCATTAGCTATGTGCTTGGTAAACTGGCATTGAAACATTGTAACAATGTTTGTTATAATAATTTCATAAACTTTCACAACTAGGAAATCTTAATGTTTTTAAGGCAAGTCAAACATAGATTCTCAAAGTTCTTATTTTCTTCTCTTGCAGCATTTGGTAGAGGATCTAATTAGACGTATCTGTTTAAAAATAAGCCAGACTCAAATAATTTTTAAGACTTATTTCTGCTTCTTTAAAAGGCATCCAAGAGAGAGGAGAGAGGTAGAAAGCCAGAGACAGGCTGCGCTGAAACCATGAACCAGGAACCAAAAGCCTTATCCACGTTTCCCATATGGGTGCAGGGGATAGACATTGGGACCACCCACCGCTGATTTTCCAACATTAGCCAAGAGGTGGATTGTAAGTGAAGTAGTTGGGACTTGAACTGACATCCATGATGCCAACCACACATAGCCTATTATGCCATCACTCGGGCCCTGGCTAAACCTATTTCAGAAGATCCTAAGAAACATACCAAGTTTTTGACTGAAATATTGTGGAATAAACTACATTGAATCTGTGTTCTGTTAGCCACATATATAAGCACAGATTTATATGTGAGTATAGGTAAGAGTTGAAGTTTCTAAAATGAAAAAAAAAAAAGTAAAGTATAGAGCGAACTTTAAAAGCAGTAGGAGAGAAGTGACTGATCAGATATAATGGGTTTCCTGGAGGAATAGCCAGGGATGTCTCAGCAGGACCCTTGCAGGCCCAAAGAACAGAATGATAATTTAAAAATGATGAGAGCAAAAGCTACCAAACAACAATATTATAATTGTTTAAACTGTACTTTTCAAATGCCAGGTATTAGTCAAAAAGTACAAATTTCAGTGGTGTTAGGATTATAATTCCTACAGATATATTTTATAATTTAAGGCCCACAGCTAACGGTATTCTATTATATACTAAGAGGATATTTAAGTGTGCTTTTTAATTGCAAAGGTAATAACAATGCAACAGTGGGAAAAATTTGGGTGTGATGAAAAGGCTTAGAATATAGATTGTGGTGAGCATCGGAGAGGAAAATACTCCCAAACAAAAGATGCTATATATATTCAATGCATATAGCATTTCATATGTAAATAACATATTTTAAATGTTTTCTTTCTAAAACATCCAGATTACAAAGAGAATAAATTTATTTTAAAATCTAGATGAAAATTGAAATTGATCTATTTGTACACTTCTGGCAAAAGCAATCTGGGAAATATTTTGATAATTCCTAAAAAAATAAGTATAGAGATAGATTAAACAACTGAATTCCTAAGCAGATGCCTAAGAGAAATGAAAAAATACATACACAAACACTGGTTCACAATGTACAGAGATTAATTATTAATAATAGCCCAAGTCAGAAAACGATTCAAAGTATGCTGATTAAGGAATAGAGAATTATATTCTATATTCAGAATACCATATTTTATAAATAAAAATGGCGGAAACATTGACACACACTCCTTACAGACAGACATATGCAATATTTTGCTAAGTGAAAGCATTAGCTAAAACAGAGGTATAAAAAGCATGGAATAATCAAATTAATGCTAAGATGATTTGTTGAAATTATAAAGACTAACAAAATCAAATATAGCAATGCATAGAGCACACAATTCCTCTCATTCATTGCTGATGATAGCAATTAATTATAGAAGCAGACAAACAACTAACATAAGTTCAATCTTAACTCTGGGAAAATCATTTAAAAGGAATTGCTCACCATAGCTAGGTAGATCTAGTCACTGAATATGAAAAGCACTGAACAAGTGGGACTGATTTTTTGGCATCTGGCAGGTGTTACAATGACTGAACTAGTTGGTCCTGGCTTCTTGGCTGTACATGCTAACGCCAAAGGAATCCTTAAAAATGAATACTTATAATTGAAATGAAGATATCCAGGGATGTTTCCATGTAGATGCTTTATATTGTTTGAACATTGTATCCAGAAGATTGACTTCTTAAAATAATATTGGGATATGACTTTTTGCTCACTGATTTGACATACTCTGCATTTTCCTGTGAGAAAGATAATAATACAGGCCCATGTGTGTTGTGATTAAAGCCCTTTCTAGAAGGAGATAAGAAGGGCATGTCAACTTTAATGACAGCAACCTAAGTTTTCTGAAACTCTCTTTGTGACTTAGAATCAGATAAATAAAACATGTCCTTGTCTTGATCAGTGATGATTGTCCTGTATAGACATGTCGCTTATAAATCTGTAAACTATGAGCAATTGTTAAATCTCAAAATGGGATTTTGGAATACCATGTTAATTCATCAATTTCACTCTCCAAATGAACACATTTGGTACAAAATAGATCCAAGAAAGAATATCAATGCTTCATGAAACTCATGAAACTATACATACATTTGAAATTATTATCGTGATAACTTGATGCAAAAATTTATATTTCAAATCAGATTTTCCATGAAAATTATAAGTCTCACATAGACAATAGGCGTTGAGCTACAGTCATAGATATGTGCCAACATTTAATGGACTCAGAAAATGTTTACAGAAAATAAGTAGCTGAGTGAACCATGATTTCTGAAGCCAGTGTCGTGGTTCTCCTGGAGCAGAAGGACTCTGCCCTTAGCACACCTGGAAACACTGGCAGCCATCCAAGCAGCTTCAATCCTCGACACCCACAACCACGCTGATACCAGAACCTGATCCTCCAACCCGCCATCCACCCACTGATCCTCCCAGCAATGATGGAAAGGCCATACAGCTTTGGCTAAGCAGCCGCTAGGAAGCATGTTTACAGCAAAAAGAGAACAGCCGTGGGAAAGCCCATCCCAATTAACCCCATTTACCTCTGTTCTGGAATTTCTCATAAAAAACAAAGATTATTACTATTATTACAGAACACATCACCCAAAATGAAAGATGGATAATCGATGGCCTCAATATGCGAAGACCTCGATGTGTTTGTCCTAAAACAGAGAAGGTTCAGAATCAACTACAACACTAGACAATAGGGCATCACCACCCAAGGACTAGGTGAGAAAGTGGGACTCATTGCTCCATGCCCGCTCAACCTTAGCACTCCTCAGGCTGTGATTTGCTTTGAGAGTAATGGCAGGTTTTAGTGAGGTGGCTTTTTAGAACTCATGAGGTTGAGGAGTTTCCTTTCCTAATTCACATAGCTAATCTAGTGCAAAATTAATACTTTCAGGGAGTTGTGGAGAGCCCATAGCAGACCCCAAAAGGTGTGTGGGAATTCTGGGGATATGTGATCTGGACAAAGGCAGCTCTGGTGACATGGCATTGGTTGAAAGAAAAGCAGCTGTCTTATACACAGAGACTGCAAGTGCTAAACCAGTCTGCCTTATAAAATAGTGTGGGAAATACATTTTATATGCTTCAGCTTGGATTACCATATTAAGTGTCTTGTTCCCATCAACCAGACAGACATCGTTAAAGATGTCTTCCCAGCCGTTACTAAAGCAGGGCTGTCTATTCCTGAAATGCCACATCTCCACAGGAAAATGACTGACAAATTTTGGTAATCAGAGATAGTTTTAGTGAATCTTCTGGACTGTGATCCAGACCTCACATCTAGAAGACCTTCACAGGAAATCACACTTACTGTCTGTGCTTCCAAAATCATCATCAGAGAGTTTGTGAAATATTTTGATATTCAAATGTAAGAAAGTTATCATAACCACTTTGGAAAGGACCATCACATGATTAAATGACCTCCTTACTTTTGAAGACGTACAAGAGGGGTATGGGAGGGGTGGGGGGAATCCCCAGCGCCTATAAAACTGTACTACATAATACAATGTAAGCAACAATAAAAAAAAAAAAAGAAACCAAATACTGGAAATAGTGGCATAATGACTAGGGCATGGTATTTAAGGTCCAGCTTTGTTGTCCATTTGTGGATCTGCCACTTAAATCCTATGTGATTCATACATCATCATCTGCAAAATGGTGAAAAATATAAAACTGACTATGTGATTGATTTATAGTAGAAAATATTCATAAATATAGTATTGTCTAGCATAAGATTTTCACTCAAAAATATGCTATGAAGATTTATGCATGAGGTATAACATTCACAATGGATTGTAACTGCCTTCACTCAGACTGTTTGTCTTAGAAATAAATATTATTCTTCCTTTATCATTTCAAATTTATCATGTTACTTTGATTGTTACTGCTAGTACACCTTACTCTTTTTTGGTATTAAATCTCTCCTCTGAATTCACAATCTTTTCAGTATATAATCTCTATTTCAGTATGTATGACACGTATTCATAGCCATAGCTTCAGTAAAGGATATTTTTAAAAATAAATGATGTCTACACTGCACCGTTTTGGAAAATGATTTGTTTATTTATCTTAGCTATAAAATGAGCAGGAATGATATTATTGATATGACATATTGGTTTATACATGTATCTGCTTCTCATATTTTGACTCGTGATCCTGAATGTAAGAAATCATAATCTCGGGCCCAGCGCGTTGGCGCAAGTGGTTAAGGTCCTCGCCTTGCACGCCCGGGATCCCATGTGAGCACCGGTTCTAATCCTGGCAGCCCCTCTTTCCTTCCAGCTCCCTGCTTGTGGCCCGGGAAAGCAGTCGAGGACGGCCCGCAGCCTTGGGACCATGCACCCGCATGGGAGACCCAGAAGAGGCTCCTGGCTTCAGATCGGCATAGCATCGGCCATTGCGTTCACTTGGGGAGTGAGTCATCGGACAGAAGGTCTTCTTCTCTGTCTCTCCTCCTCTCTGTATATCCACCTTTCCAATAAAAATATAATAAAAATAAAAAATCTTTTAAAAAAAGAAATCATAATCTCAAACACTAATGTTAATCTGTGTAAGCAGGAATATTATGACCAAATTAAAGGTATTCTACACCAAGACTCACAGAATCCATTTGCCAAGAAAGCATTCTGCTTTAACATAAATTAGAACCACTTCATTTTGATTGAATGGATGCTGACTGGTTTTTGTTTTCAGGAATAGCTGTGACATTGAAGACATCAAGACAATATGGTACTGACTGCGTCTCAGTGCCTTTGTAAAATCCTCATTGCCTTGTGCAGTTCATAAACTGTAAGTATAAAGTTCAACACCTCGAAAGTGAGAATAAACCATAACTCTTCCTTTGTTAGTCACATGATAGGATCGAAGGTAGCTGAGCTTCACGTAAAGCCCCTTTCTGATGTGAGCATCAGGCTGAAGCAGATGTCCTAATGGCTCCACCCTCAATCCATCAGTTACCTGATTCAATGTACAGAAAGAAAATGTACACAGCAGCAATAAAGAATATTGTATTTAGTAAATACATCAAAATTTTTGGCCAAATGTGGTCCTGATCAAATAAAGCACCTGGAAGAAAACACAGAACAATTAGAGATCATTAAGCTGAAAACATGAGCTCATTGGATTATGCATTTGAAGTTAATAAGGCACAACTCTGTCCAATCTTGTGCATATTTCATGTAGGTCTGTGTGTGTGTTTGCATCAAGGCTAGTCATTGGGTGGACAAAACAAGGCAAAAACAGCATCATCTTGTCTTGATGTGGCATTTATCTGAAGGCTGAAATGGGATGGAAAAAGATTCATCTCCTCGGGGGAGGGATAAATTTTGGGAGTGAGCTCAAGTTGTAAATCAGACCATGTAACATGAGGTTTCCAGGTTAGGCTGTTGACTAGTGGTGAGGCTGTCTTAGTCCTGTGGAGACCCGGCTAAAACACAATGCTACTGTCTTTAACCTCAGGAGATTACATACAATTTAAAAAACAAGCAGGATACAGAAGGAGTGAAACTAGATCTTGGGTCTTTTTCTTTTTTAAGAAAGCATGAACACGTAAAACTGCCTGTGAGAGAAAAGAGAAGCTTGACCGGCTTCACACTGATCATGTGTCTACATAAATGATTATAATAACACATCCTGCTTCATAGAGTTTTCAGAAAGTTTTAAATGACTGTATTAGCTCCAGATATTGTAAGAAATCAGGAAAAGCTTTTTCCTTTGACTAAATAATTCGTGTTTCACAGAAATTCGTGAAGTGTAATTATATATGTTTAAGATACAAAAACTAGAGTCTAATGCTGTAGCCTAAAGGCTGAGGTCCTCGACCTAAATATGCCAGGATCCCATATGGTGCCGGTTTGTGTTTCCTGGCTGCTCCACTTCCCATCATGCTTTCTGCTTGTGGCCTGAGAAAGAAGTAGAGGATGGGCCAAAGCCTTGGACCCTGCACCTGTGTGAGAGACCCAGAAGAAGCTCCTGGCTCCTGACATTTGATCAGCTCAGCTCTGGCCATTGTGGCTACTTTGAGAGTGAAACAGATGGAAGATCCTACTCGCTGTGACTCCCTCCCTATCTGAATTTGCAGTAAAAATCAATAAACCTTAAAGAAAAATATACAAAAGCTATAATTTGAAAGAATATTAACCTTGTTAACGTTACTAAATTAGTACTTTAATTTGCACAGATATCAGTAGGGTAAAATAAAATCATGCACTTTAAAAATTTTGAAAGCTCTAATGCTTCAATTATGGGTTGATATTTTTCTGGACATATGTTTGTCTTCTACAGTCCTCTTAGCACCTGACATCGTCTTCAGTAACAAAACCCACAATCATTATGAAGAGGCACATTTGGCACTTAGCTACATACTATGCACTTTAACACTAACTAATTGCTTTTATTCCACGGTTTCCTTCAGACAACAAAGCACTCACTTGCTAGGATGATGTTAACTTTTTTCTCATGTGCCGTTAATGAGTTGTAAATACAGCAGGTTATACTGTTCCGTGATTTGTTCTGGAGAAGAAGAGTCATCTTCATGTGAAATAGTTTGGCTCCATCCTGTGAGTATGATATTGAAGAATGTGGAACTTCCTCTCCCCTGCTGTCTCTCCACTCCATTTTGGGCTGTGGGTACCACCCCTCGGACTTACATTCAATCAACAGTCGTTTATTGTTAGCAGCCTGAACACGGATCTGGGTGTCCAAGCCAATTGCTGGTGGAAATCAGAAAAGAGCATTAAGTTAGTTACTGCATTTTGGTTGAGTTGGAAAATTGAAAAAAGTCTCAATCTTGGACTCTGAAACCAACACAGAGGTTATTAGTAAGCGCCTTTCTAAGTTACAAGTCAGACAAACTGCATTGCCTTTCACCGTAGAAATGAGTTGTACTCATTATTTAAAATATTTGAAACATGAAAAATGAAGGAAGGGGCCAGTGCGGTGGCCCAAGTGGTTAAGGTCCTCGCCTTGCATGCCCGGAATCCCATATGGGCACCAGTTCTAATCCCGGCAGCCGCACTTCCCATCCAGCTCCCTGCCTTTGGCCCAGGAAAACAGTAGAGGATGGCTCAAAGCTTTGGGACCTTGCACCCATGCGGGAGACCCAGAAGAGGCTCCTGGCTTCGGATCGGCATAGCATCGGCCGTTGCGCTCACTTGGGGAGTGAATCATGGGACGGAAGATCTTCCTCTCTGTCTCTCCTCTCTTTATATCTGCCTTTCCAATAAAAATAAATCCTTAAAAAAATGAATGAAAAAATTGTTGAAACATGAAGATGGATTTGTACATATTCTATCTAATGGAGTCACTAGGTCCCTGGTGTACAGTATTCCACACTCACCTGCTACACTAAGGTTCAGGATGGCCATGTCACTGAAGCCATTATCTTCAAATGAACATTGATATGATCCCTCATCGGAGATGCTGATATTATTAATTCTGAGGGTCACCTGGCCCTCTCCAATGGTCTCTTTCACAAACTCTACACGACCCACATATTCCGGGTCAGCTTCTCTGTTTTCTTCTCGACCACCTCTGTAGAGGTACACAGGTTTGGAATGATCACCCCTGAACCAGTGTATCTCCATGAGCTCTGCACTGCGTGGTGGGGACAGCTGACAGGTGAGTTCAGCCTGTCCTCCTGCTATTGCCACCACATGTTGCGCGGGCATGGTCACCATCAGCTTCTCTGTGGAAGAAGACAGAAGATCAAGATATGTCAAAGCGAACAGCATCCCGTTTGCTTACATTGACTGGAACACACCAAATTTTGCCCATTTCAAATGGCTATTTTGAATTTCCAAAATTTAGAGTCTTGTCATTAAAAACAACAAAAACATCATCAATAAATGTTACTATTGTAATAAAGGTATGTAAATCAAGTTTTATTACATCACTCAAAATTAAGTTAAAATACCAAGTGTTATTTTAAATGTTATTATCAGTGAAATCTTATGTTATAACTTCATTTTGTTTTTCATAATTTTAAGAGTCTGGTGAATTTCAAAGATTTATCAGTTTGTGGTGGAGGAACTGTAATGCATAATGATGCAGTTTCATGCATCAGCTGTAAGATGGGATGAGGAAAGTGTCATGAGGAACAGAGGTTTGTACGCTATAAAAGTTAAGATGCATAAATCCCAATTAAAATAGGACAACTTTAGAAACCATATATTCCCTATTTTGGTCTCCAAGAAAAGAGGAACCGAATACACAGAAAAGTAAATGAGGAATGAATTTTGTGTCCTACCCTCAAAAAGCAAAGTATAAGAAGAATACGGTAATGAATGGCATTAAGTGTGACAACACCCATGAGGCATGCAGAAAGCAAGAAAAATGACAGATTCTGCTTGAAAATGTCTTGATGTGATTGTTGGTAACTGACCATGATGTGCTGTGTGATTTGAGACCCTGATGAAAGCTGTTAGTGATGGCGTGACAAGGTACATGGAGGGGTAGCCTGCAGTAATGCCGTATTGAATCTGCCAGCGACAGCGTGGTGTGGGCTGCCAGCTTATCAGTGCTGTTCAGCACCTGCTCCCCTAGGCTGGGACAGAAGTTTCTGCTTCTGTGACACCAGTTGAAATGTGAGGACCCCAAATTTGAGGCTTTAGGATATAGCTTCTTCTGAAAACAGGGCTTTTTCTGAATATACATTTCAAAATAGTTACTTTCCTTTCTATCGTGAGCATAAAGATACTTCTCTATAATATTCACAGTGATAATCAGAGCATGAAGATACTTCTCTGTAGGGAGCCATGTAGTTGGGTCAGATGTCATGGGTACGTCATGAGCACCGCTCCTCAGTTAGCAAGGCTGCGAGGAGTTTCTGGGTGCATGGCATGGCCCGGCAGAATGTCTCTGGTCACCTCATTGCTGCCTCACCCCATTGTATGGACACTCAACCACCTCTGTGATGTTTCATAGAATTCTTCTTAGGATGTTGTTGTTTTTCTGCTAATGTGAAGTGATTCCTGTAACTGGTATGACACCTCAAATTGATCAATCCTTTTATGATAAAAACACCTTTAGTAACGGTAAGGCCATGTCACACAGCTAAAAGTATACAATAGTATAATTGAGCCCAAAATGTTTCCAAACATCCTGTTATGTGTCCACTTTTGTGCTAAAGTTTGCCCTAGTGTAAGTAATGTTTTCCTTAAGAAATGGCTTGATAATATCTTGCAACAGATGGCAATCATGGAGGTACAAAGAGTTTGTTTACCATGCTCCTTAAACTGTTACAATACATGATATGATGCATTTTAGTTTCTTACCACAAGAAAGCAAAAGTATATGGGACATCTTTTATAAGGAAATAAATGTGGACACCCCTCAAAATGATTTAAAATCTTTATATTTTATTGGCACTTATATTTAGGGAAAGAAAATACTTTATACAGATGAAAGAAATTTTCTTGTAAAGGCCTTCTGTTTGTACATTGGCTGAGCTGCCTTGATCGCTTTCACTGCTCTTTAACAAAAGAATGAAAGACAATTGAATCAGCACTAGGTGAAGGTGACAGTAATTAATGCATGATTTGGTTATAAGACTTACCAAAAAATCTATGTTATATACTTTGATAAAATCCTTCATTTATGATCTTTTAATTCTGTACTCTTAATATTTTATGCAATATTGGTTTGATTGTGTTTAGTAAAAATTGATTTTGAGTATAAGTAAACTACTTGTCACTATGTAACTGCATTTGCTACCAACCGTGGAGTTCTTGGCTTCAGCCAGTTGATTGCAGGTTTCAATGAGTAATGGTTTGTTATAAATGTTTTCTTTGAAATAGAAAAATATTTTTAGGATTGCTTCTTGCATTTTCATAGCCATGATGTAATGAAAAATGAAACAATTGGATGTTGTGCAAAAGCATGTGATGATTTATGTATAAATAAAGAAGGCAACTATTCTGAGTTGTCCATTAGGGGCATCACGTCATAGTGGTCCGTGCCTTATCTTTTCCTATCATCTCGCCGATCAACACATCCTTTGCAAGCTCTCAGTCAGCTGGAGCTGGTCTCACTCACTTCTCTACAGTATTCACAGTGTGATAATCAAATAGAAATACTAGGAAAAAGCACAAAGGTGGGTTTGGCATGGTGGCTCAGTAGCTAAATCCTTGCCTTCCATGTGTGTGGGGGATTCCATATGGGCAATAATTTATATCCCGGTTGCTCCATTTCCCATCCAGCTACCTTCTTGTGGCCTGGGAAAGCAGCTGAGGATGGCACAATGTCCTGGGACCCCCACCCGCTTGGGAGACCTAGAAGAAGCTCCTGGCTTTGGACCGATGCAGATCCGGTCATTGTGGCTACGTGGGGAGTGAACCAGCAGACAGAAGAACTCTATCTGGCTCTCTTTGTCTCTGTAAATCTGCATTTTCAATAAAATAAAGTTTAAAAAAACCTTTTTTTAAAAGCACAAAAGTGTTCTGTCAATGATTAGGATTATAAGGAGTTTTTAACTTTCAGATTGGTCCATGATGGGCATCCAGTAATTCAGTAATTACTTTAGAATTTTCTCAGAGGAAATTCCTCATTAATGTTTCCCTCAGAGGACTCTTACCATAGATACCTCTGTATCCAGCTCCCTGAACTCCAACTTTGTGGACAACAGTCCCTATAACTTTAATTCTTTCATTGATCTAAGGTGAGTTTTTGATTTTCAGTTTTTCAGGCTTTTTTTGCTTTTCTGCTTTTCCCGTGATGTTATGATGGAGTGAAGGTGACTGAGATCCTACATGCTGGCCCAAAGATTAGAAGACTACTCTATACATGATGTCCAAAGCTGTGACTCAGTAGGTGCAAGTTCTTACCTGAAGCTGATGACATCACTTGCAGAAGAAAGCTTATGTAACATGCAAGTGAAGAAAAGGATTTACTCTTCATATCTAGAAAGGAGACAAGAATAACAATATGGAGCATGAGACAAGAATGTGGATTGTAGACACACAAAATTAAATATACAAAAGAGGCAACTTTAACAGTCTTTTCTTAAATAGTCCTTCCATAATAAACTTCCACATCCTTTCACGTGTTTTGACCAGATTCACAATTCATCTGTCCCACTCTCTCACACCCAGGTTTCCTTTCTTTCACTTTGTGATTTGTTCAAAGAACAGTTTATCCAACTGGTCACATTGTAAGGAAACAAATGGAAGGATGGCATCTACTGGCAAGCACAAAGCAGAAATCCCAAATCAGCACAAAGAAAGTCTTTGCAGGCTTCATGTGCTTGACCATCCAAGATGAGTTACACCAAGATGAGTTACACCAAGCTCTGCTGTAACTAAACTGCCTTGTTCCTTTAAAACATTATTTCTAAAAATAAAACACTGCTCAAATATTTTAATTAGTGATTTTTAATTATCAGCATTTCACCTCTTAATATGACAGGAGTTTTCTTCATTCTGTCAAATTATAAAATCTGGAAAAGTGACATGCACACACCTACATCAGAATACACCTGAAGGAATTTCAAATCAATAATTTTTTTGACTCTTTGCAGTCTGATATAAACAGCAAATGGGCAACTTGAAATTGAGAAGAATTCATGAAATCAGAAGAGACATAACCTAAGATTTACCAACTTTAGAAAAACCCTGAAGAATGCCACATAAGCCAATCAAAAGACTGTCCTTGGACCTTTAAGCCAATGGCTGAGGATTGTGTGTAAATACTGTCTTGGGTACAGCCAGCATTGTGCTGCAGCACATTAGGTCACCCATTGCAATAGAGTGGCATGCTTTGGGTAAGGAAATAAGCAGAAATTTTTCAAAAAAGCAAATTCTAACAGCTTAGAGACATATGAAAAAATTTTAGGATCCCTAGCTATCAGGGAAATAAGAATAAAAACAACATTGAAGGTCCATCGGCTCCAGTGAAATTGGTCTACATCTGGAAATTTACTAACAACACTTGCTGGATTACACGTGAATAAAATTTTCCTCCACTCCACTGTTGAGTGGAATGTAAATGAAACCATCCACTATAGAAGTCAGTATGGAGAGTAGTAAGACAAAGGAATATTGGTCTTCTGCATGACCCAGCTATCCCACTCCTGGGAATGCAGCCAAAGGAAGTGAAATCTGCACTTTAGAAAGCAGCCTGCAACCCTGTTTTAGAGCAGTATAATCCACAATCTTGAAGACATGGACAGTATCCAGATGCCCATCAAAGAGGAGTGGGTAAAGAAGCTGTGGTACATCTGCTCCAAACACGTAATACTACTCAGCCATCAAAAATGAAATTCTAACATTTAAAACAAAATAGTCCCAATTGAAGATCATTATACTCAGTGAAATAAAGTCAATCCCAAAAGGATAAATATCATGTTTTCTCTGATATAAGGCAAACTTCATGAAAAATACAAAAGCTATAGGTACATAGCTAATGTTATATAAATATGTGTTCTCAGAGATGAACTGTATAATGCAGACGAGCATCCTGGTAAATGAAGATGCATTGCAGTGTGCATCTGTAATCTCATATAAAAGGAAGAGTCCCAATAAAACTGTTACATATACTCTGACAAAATATATTGTGTTATCCAATATTGTCCATACTTAAACTGCTATTATACACTTAAATCATAGAATATTGCATTTATGACTGTTGCTGATGGGCTATACTATTGTAATAACAATGGGAAAGATCATATTGGGGAGATTGGGGTGGGAGAAAGGGTAATCTTTAACCTACAAAACTGCATCATGGGAAATAATAATAATAAATGCAAATATCCCCAAAATGCCACCTGCAGTTCCAGCTATTCTCTTTTGATAGAGCTTCCTATTAATGTGCTTAGTAAACCATGAGGATGACCTAGATACTTGAGTCCAGAATGGAGTTCCTGGCTGTGACTTCAGCCTGACCCACACATCAGGGGATGGAAGATATCTCTGGGTCTCTTTGACTCTGCCTCTCCCTCTCCTACTCTCTGTCCTTAACACCATTTCTTTGAAATAAACAAGTATCTTTTAAAAGCAGAAGCCTTGGTAAGATACAGAATGTTTGCATTCTGATGCTATATTTCCATCTAAGAATCCCAATAGGTCCCGACAGGACTGATGAAAAGAACAACCTTTCTTCTAGAATAACTTTTCTCTTATTGCTTAGAAAAGAAGAATTGACACACGGTTGAAGCTATTTTAACTTTCATCTGTTCTCCATTCCCTATAGAAGTAATGTCCTAAAATGTAGGGAAGGAGCAGCAGAACCTTAGCCATTGAGCAGTTCTGATGCAGCACTGCAGCAGTGTGAGCAAAACAGAAACATACTCAAGCTTTGATGGAAGAGTGAGGCTGTTTGGTCATCCCAACATAACATGTGTAAGGGGAAAAGAAGGGCTATACACGAAACACAAGGAGGAATAAAACTAGAGCTTAATCGAGAAAGCAGGGAATGTTCAGGGTCTTCTGCTTATTCCCACCTCCCTCAGTATGAGCAGGCATTAAGTAGAAGGAACAGTAATATGTGTTTAAGGGAGCTTTGAGAAGCACATACTCTCTAGAAATCAGAGTGAAAGCAATATCTAAGAATAAACAGTAGTTAACAACAAGAAATGAACAGAGAATTCCAAGCCAACTGAATAGGGGAAAGACCTGCTGATGTTGACTAGGGAAAGTTGACAGAAGAAAAGCACAGGAAGTACATTCTCAGGTAGGGTTGTTGGAAATTTGTAGTGAAAATGTTGCAGAGAACAGAGAGACAATGTGGACTAGGATGGACAGTGGAAAAATGCAGCAGAGATTAAGGGTACCATTGGGAACTACTGTGCTTGGAGGCTGGAAGAGATATCAGCATTGAGTGCAAGTTGGGAATGGAAGGCAGCAGCCAGTGGCAATGATGCCTGAGGTGGATTTTTGCAGACTACACTGACTTTGTGTCTTGCCTGGAATCCCAGTGGGAGACAGGGTATTTACATATTTCCAGAAAGAAAAGTACATTTTATTCTCCCCATCTTGCAAAGTGGCTGTGAGATAGTGCCATATCTATACATATACAAATATGTATATATGTATATATGCATGTGTATGTATAGCATATGTATATATATTAAAAATATATGTATATATACATATATATGCATATATATGTAGATTCTCACTCAAGGTGCTAAGAACTCCATACCCAGAGAGAAGTTCAGTGCCCAAGCCATTTTCAGCTACCATTGAAAACAACTGCTCTGGCACCACATACTGCATATGACTCCTAGGGAACTCAAAGTGTTGGTGAATGGCATCGTCCCAAAGGAACAGCACAGGCCTTCCAGAATCAAAACTACTCCATTTGGGTCATAAATGTTAGATAACATCAGCTTAGGTAACAGCTATCCTGGAATCCCTGTTTTGTCCCTTTTCTTCCTATGCCCATTGTGGCTACAATAAAGAAATCACGCCTGGTGATCATGGCACCCAAACAAGGATGTAGATTCTCAGTCAAGGCATTAAGAACTCCACACCCAGAGAGAAGTTCAGTGCCCAAGCCATTTTCAGCTACCATTCAAAATGACTGCTCAGGCACCACATCCTGCTGAATGTGCCTGTGACACCTAGGCAACCAGGTGTGTTGGTGAATGGCATCATTCTGAAGGAGCAACACAGGTCTTCCAGTGCCAAAACTATTCCATTTGGATATTTCACTTCACATTCCATCAGCTTTAGTCACAGCTTTCCCAGAAAACCTGTTTTGTCCTTTTTCGTCCTATGCCCATTGTGGAATATTTATATTTTTTCTTAATCTTAATTATTTAATCTTAATTTTTTGCTGACAATTGGAGCTACCCTGGCCAGTCTGAGCAAATTCCAGGCCTGAATCACATGCTCACCAGTTGGAGTTATGGTCCACCAAGGAAGTTTCTCAAGTTCTCCACCAAACCAAGATCTCACACATGCCTGTCGGTCCGAGGGCTTTACAGGACATAGACTACCCTCTCTTTCTCAGCCTGTGTATAAGTGGTGGATGTTGTGCTCGGCCTGCCTTACATTGTATTCTTGAATGTGCCTGTGGGTGCTACAACTTAGATCACTTAGCCTGTATCCAACTCTAGTATCCACGAGTGTCAGTGGGTTCCATGGTCATGACTAGCTCATTCTGTCACCACCCCTAGAGCCCCCCAAGCCAACCAGTGGATATTACAGATCCACAGGAGTGGGCTCACACATCCCAATGCAGAATATGCTCCCAGACCCAGTACTCTTGTAAGCTCGTCAGTGCTATGGCCCAGCTTACCACTTCCCATTCCCAGTTCTGATTCTCACTGGTGAGTCCCATGCCTAGCATTGCCAGGTAGGTGCCCAGTCCTAAATTTAGTGTATATCAATGAGTGGAATTTGGCATTGTTCAATCCTAAGTACTCTAGTTTGGATCTCCCACATGAGCTAGTGCTTAGTTCTGAGCCTCAAACATCATTGTGTGCCTCCCTCAAAATCACACCGTCAGCTGACCTGAGGGCTTCACCTAGCACAATTGGAGCCCAGGCCAACTAACCTGAACCCACTCCTCAGAACCCCATTCCCAGGACAAGCCAACCCACCTGGATCAGCGTACCTTGCATGCCAATAGGCCTGAGCCTCCAGGCCCGAGTCCTGCAACCCGAGACACTGCTCCAAGGACAAATCAACCCTCCTGGCTCCGAGCACATGGTGGACAAAGGGGACTAAGCCTCCAGACTTGAGCCACTGCTTACCACTCCGGCTCTGAGTACCTGGTTGCTTTTCTTTAAAATAAGTTATTTATTTTATTGGAAATGCAGATCTGAATTATGGGGAGAAGGAGAGGCAGAGTAACAGATTTTCTACCTGCTGTTTCACTCTCCAAGTGGCTTCAATAGCCAGAGCTGAGCTGATCTGAAGCCAGGAGCCAGGATCTTCTTCTGATCTCTCTAATGGGTGTGGTGGGTCCCAAGGCTTTGGACCATCTTACACTGCCTTCCCAGGACATAAGTGGGGACTCAGAAGGAGAATCGAGCAGCCACAACATGAACTGGAACATATACAGGATCCTGGTATTTACTAGATGAGGATTAAGCCATTAAACCATGGTGCTGCTTCTGAGGTACTGTCATTTTAATGCAAATACAAATAGCAGCAGCTTTAGCTCATAATTGCATATCTAGGAGATATTACTAGAGGGACAAATCTGCATATCACAGTGACTTTGAGTCTGGCCTGTAGGACTGACACAGTCATGTGGATCCACTTAGGACTAAGACGTGCATCACACATTCTCTGACCTTGTTATAGGCTCCTGTGCTCAAACTGATGAAGTATAGCTACCATAGTCAGCTGGCTCTGGGTCCACCTCTGCTCTCTGTGGATGGGGAAAGCCCATGAGAAAGAGTGGCTCCTCTGCATCCCATGTCAGTGGGGAGATACATGCTATATGACGGAGAATTGTGTAATTGCACAATGAGGTGTAGCATGTGCCTGGGTCTCTGGGCAATCACTGTGTGTGGCTTTAGAGGAACAGAGATCCCTGATAACTGTAGTGGATCTTTGCAGGATTCCATGCTCCCACTGAGAAACATGAACTACATTTATGAGTTTCATGTCCTGAAATGGGCAGGAGCTACAGCTACTGCAGATAAACTCCAGACATAAGTCACCTTTGAATCTTCAGCTGCAAGGGAGACCTGGGAGAAGCTCTTGCTTCCTGGCTTCAGATTGGCTCAGCTCTGGCCATTGTGGCTACATAAGGAATCAGCAGATGGCAGATCTTTCTCTTTGTCTCTTTTTCTCTCTGTGAATCCAAGGCATGGGTCATGTTTGATTGGAGGAAATGAAGTGGTTATGCTAGCACATATGATCATGTCATCCTCCATACTGACAACAAAGTTGTACAATTGCAAACCTGATATATCTCACCCAAAACTTAAGCAAAGACCAGATTTCCTTGGCTCCACTCAGCACATATTTATGGCTGTCCACTGAAGGAGCAGGAATCCCACTAAGCTGCAGAAGCATAGTTCAAAAATAAAAGTCACCAAAAGAGAAAATTAACAAGTATTATAACAAATGCTTAAGGCCTGGTGACATAACGTAGTGGCTAAAGTCCTTGCTTTGCATTCACTGGGATCTGATTTGGATGCTGGCATGTGTCCTGGCAGCCCCACTTCCCATCCAGCTCCCTTCTTGTGGCCTTGGAAAACAGTTAAGCATTGCACAAGTCCTTGGAACCTTGAATTCACATGGAATACCTTGAAGAAGTTCCTGGCTCCTGGCTTTAGATCCAGGCTTGGCAGCCATTGGGGGAGTGAACCAGTGGATGGAAGATCTTTGTCTTTCCTCCTCTCTGCAAATATGACTTTCTAATAAAAATAAATAAATTTTTTTAAATGCCATTTAAATACAAGAAACAGGAACATGGAAGACAATATGAGTCTCACAAAGAAGTACAAAAATACTTCAATAATAAAATGTGAAAAAGAGTTAGATGATGCACTTGGAGATGAATTTTAAAAATACATATTTCAGTTATTCAAAGACACAGACAAGTGGAATAAAAATATCCATACAGGATGTGGATGAAAACATTATCTAAGAGAGCAAGAAATTGAAGACAAATCAAACTCAGTAATTAAAAACAAATAATTCAATATGCCAAATAGAAAGTATAGAGGAAAGCCATGACAACAAACATGATGAGGTTAAAGAATATCCAAGACAGAAGACTAATCCTTGAAAAATCTCAGTCAGACAAACAAAAAAGAGAGTTAGAAAAAGTGAACATACTATTTGAGATGTATGCGATCTTGTTAAAAGACCAAACATAATATCTTAGAAATTCCTGGAGGTATGAAAACAGAGAGTGAGTTAGAAGGCTTAATCAGTGAAATAATAGCAGAAAACGTCCCTAACTTGCAGGAAGAAAGACATACAAGCACAGAAAGTATACTGAATTTCTAGCAGACATGATCAGAAGATATTTTTAAATGTATTAATGTTCTTTAAGAAAGTTACTTCATTTTTATTTGAAAGGCAGAATTGGGAGGGGGAAGAAAGAAAAATAGAGAGAGTAGAGCAAGAGAGAGATCTTCCATTTGCTGCTTTACTCTCCCAAATGGCCAAAGCTGGGCTGCTCCTAAGCTGAAATCAAGCACTTGGGCCACCTTCCATTGATTTCCCAGGCACATTAGCAGGAGCAGGATCAGAAATGCAATAGCCTGGACTTGAACTAGCGCCCGTATAGGCTACTGGCCATGTGAGAAGAGGGTTCACTTAGTCAATAAATGGAACAACTTGGTACGACGCTGGCCCAATTAAGCAGAAGAGAAAACAACCAATGCATTAAATTGAACCTGAGAAAGGAGATGTAACAAAGACGCACACACACACACAAAACAAAATGAACCATAATTAATGCAAATTATGCCAAAAATTTGAAAAACCAAAAAGAATCTGATATAATTTCTGGGCACATGCATCTTCCAGATTAAATTATGATGGCACAAGAAGACTTAACAATGATGAAGATGGGAGAATCAAGATGGTGGAATAGGGTAGGAACACATTTAAATGGACTCTGCTTCATCCTGATTAAAAAACAGGAGAGGACACATTCCAGGGAATAAGAGAGGACAGAACAACAGCAGAGGGGTGCCTGGAGACTGACAGACACAGGAAAGGAGCAGACTCAATGGTGTGATATTGCAGTGGTTGATACTCCAGGGGCATTCCGCTAATGGGTGACATGAATTCCACCAGAAGCCAGAATTCCACCAGCAACCAGGTGGGAAGTGACTTTCACTTGGAGCTGGGAAGTAAAACCAGACAAAGAACTGTCCAACTTACTGTTCCATTTGATTTGATCAGGAGCAGAGGCAAAGGAGCAGATCCCAGATGGACAATGCGAGAACAGGGTGGATTTCACAGCCCAGTCAGCCCCATAGTGCCGAATTGGTACATCAGGCGCCATTTTGTTCACTGTGGCAAATGCTTTAGGACTGGAGGAGACAACAGTGAACTGTGCATGTGCTGAGTTCACAAGAACTCACTGAGTTCAGTTGATTGCACTGGTGCCAAAGGAAAATAATACTGACTGTGGCATTGTACTGGTCATTATAGGTCAGTGTGGCACCCAGATCCAATGTTCAACATGTTCTGACAAGATCAGCGCAAACAACCTAACTACATAGGACACCTGGTGTCTCTCTGATCTTGGAACCTGCTACAACCAGAAGGTTGCAGAAACAAGGGTGCAGCCTCAGCATGGTATCACAGAAGGTGGTGAGTGGTGAGCCAA